GGGTAATCGGATGAGGTAATGAGAGGTATTCTTAATTACTGACCTCTTCATCGGAGGCTTGAGTAAAGGCCGCTATTGCCTGATGCACTTGCGGAGCGGTGGATCCACTAGCAGGATGCGCCGCAGCTTGTTTACCAAGTTTAACGGCGTCCTGTGTCGACTGTGACGACTCAGTCCTCCTAAGATAAGCAGCCTCCTTTTTAGGTGGTACTACCGGTTTATTCGGCGGTACTGGAGGAGGAACGCCGCGAGATATCGGTGGCTTTTTCGAGTGCACTCTGAGATTAGGAGTAGGAGGTACAACCACACGTACAACCACACGTTGGTCTACAGCCTGAGGAATGAATACACACGAGAACCGATTTAACCTTTGGGGCTATCCCTTTGAAACACCCCACCGTAAGGGTAACATCTAGGTTTAGCTGCATCTAAGGTAAACTAAAAGAGGAGAGAATTATACCAAGACACCGGATCAAAGCAAAAATAAAAAATGAAACAGTTGAGTGGTTAAGGATAGCAGCGATTAAGAATGTTTGGTCACCTTGTTACCTGAGCAAAAATCTGATGTGTGTTCCAATATCTAAACTATGATTAAGATACCGATTCCTGGCAGTAATGAGTACGTGTTATGTGTACCTTCAAAATGTGATGAAACAGATTGTTTGAAAGCAACTTAAGATTTGTTTAGCGAGAAGAAGATACTCATAATAGTGGTCTTAATTCGAAGAATTGTCACCTCCTACTACAGAGATTGTACGATCATCTACTTTCTTTGTTAGAATAATACAACACACAACTTGAGAAAAATAACAGGTAAACAACCAAACCAGGTAAAGTTAGCAGTAGCAAGTATAGGGTTGCAATTAGGATGGCAAGCAAGGGAAAATTTGTAAATAAGGCTCAAAAGTGAGTTGCATACAATTTTTAATTAAGGAAATAATCAATGTACATACTAAATAGTAATCTTATGTACAAAATAAGAATAGCATAATACAATTTAGATTTCAAATTTGATGGTGTACTAACTTATATAAAACAATACGGTGTGATATAATTAATATGAATTAAATTTTACAAATAATGAAAAATTGTGAGTGCACGACCCGAAATAAAAAGGCGAGTTTTTAACATTACCTAAATAATGAAAGAATATCTAATTACAGTTGCGTACTCAAGTGTAATATATCATTTTTATATAATATACAATTAATAAAAGACAATCCAAAATAACGTCATAGTAGTTAAAAAATGTGTATTGGATTGGGGTTGCATACATGCAACGCATCTACAAGATGTGCGCATGTAGTATCAATGTTTCATTTTATGTTTTTACATTACAGTTATTTTACACTTTACCCTCATACTTTGTATAAAAATGTAGAAAGTGTCTAATGTTTGTAATTATTGTTAATCTGAATATATACATCGATTTCTTTCTTTCTAGCTTAGTAATTGTACCCATTGTTTTTTTTTTTTTATGTATCAATAAAGATCAGTAACCCATGTGTTAGAAGAAGAAATGAACCAGTTTTCCCCCAAAGCAGTTTCTGTTTGTTACATTGATTCATTAAAAATAAGAAAAATCAAAAAATGCGCAACAACCGTGTTTCTAAAATAAAAGATAAGATATTTATATTATTCTTGTTATCATGCAATAATTATTTAACAATAATATTATACGCAACATTCAGCTTCTATAAAAAATAAGACTAGAGAATCTTATGTGATTACAATGTTCCTTTAAAGTAATATCAAATAACATTACATTTCGTAAGGTAATGTAATTATTTCTGAATTAATCGCGAAAACGGTTTACTATCATAAATAATATGATATGCTTTAAAATATTATTTGTACGATCACGTCTGTGCGTAGGTTCATACATATGATCGAACATTTATAATAAAGTCATGCATACTTGGCATAGCTTTATATATCATTGAGGTATATTGACAGAATTTTATCGTCTACTATGAAATTGGTACTAAAATATTCATATTGATTCACAAATCAATATACTAATATACTTATGCATTTTGACACGTGATACGAATCTATGATTTAATATTTTTTAATAAAACTCGTATCATTTATATATATACTGTTTAAGTATCTTTTTTTTACTTCCCAATCCAAAATATAATATTAACTATTATATTCTACCTAATGCATTTTTTTTAGTTTTAATACAAGTTCGATACATAAAACATAATGATATATTAAAAGTCAATGTAACATTTTAATATCATAAAACCTGCATTATTGAAAAAAAATTCTTTTAATTATGTGTATGCATAGATATGCAATGTGTAATATCCTCAGATTAAAGTAGAGTGAGAAGGAAAATGAGGATAGTTTACCTGGGTTTCAGAAGTAGTCACAGTCTCTGCAGTAGTAGAAGTTATATTCGGCGCGTATGTGCCCCCGCGTAGTGCCTGTCCAGGAGTTACTAATCTAGCAATACCAGTAGCTATAAAAAAAAAAATTACAATTCATTTTAGATGTTATCAACTGCATTTAGCTTTAATAGATAAATAGAGAAAAATCCAGATGACTAAATAATTACTAAAAAAACACGCCATAGTAACATTTCTTTCAGAGAAATAACAAATTGGTATTAACATTGAATGTATTACGATATATACATATATATATATATGAGCAAAAACCCCAATTACCATTTATTTTGCAATCAACTGTTAAAATGTAATTTGTTAATTCGTCCACTGGTATATGACACAAACATTTTCTTAAAGCAAATATATCCGACATATTTTAATCGTTTAATATCCTATCTCAACTTTAGGGTAAGACGTGCTGTTCTTACTTGGACCGCTGACAGGAACACTAGATACCGTGGCAGTGGGCTGAACGACTTTGCTACTAACCATTGGTGTTCCAGTGCCCAATACTGTTCCTTTAACTGCATACAAAGTATAGTTACACAATTTTAATCGCCTTATATTTACATTGATTACCATAGCATATACAAATATTACTGTTCATTTGCTATTGATGTGAAATAAATTAAAATTGTATTAAATTATTATACATTACATACTTGTTTGTGGAGCACTAGCAGGTCTAACTGTAGGCATAGCAACTAAATTAGCCGGTTTAACTGGAGGAGGCGGTGGAGTTGTACCCACTCCTCTTGGAGAACCTCGTGCTTGAGACTCTTTCAACACATCCATTTCATTTCTAAGTTTCTCTAATTCTAATTCCAAATCTTTAACTCTTTTTTCTTCCTTTGCTAATGCTTGTCTATATTGCTGTCTCTCAATGTCAAACTGTGCAAGTTGTTTTTCTAATTCTGCTTCCATTCGCAATGACTTCTTACTCTCTTCTTCAAGTCCTTCAGCCATGTAGTCTATTCGTACTTGATCTACATCTAACTCTGATGCTAAATCTTCCGATCTTTTTCTTTCTTCTATATACTTCATAATTATTTTATTATGTTCAGCCAATAACAAAAGTACTATCTGCTTCTGTCGAGCTTTCTGTTCCTCTAAACTGTCATTTGCCTTTTTTATTTCCTGTTCCAGTCTTTTTTTTTCTTGCTTCTCTAATTCTAACTCTTTCTTCAATCGTGTTCGTTCCTTTTCCAATCCATATGTAATATCATCACCTTGGGCAGTATCGTGTTCATGTTTCTGTTTTTCTTCCTCCAATTCCTTGATTACCTGAAGTTTTGTAATTACAGGCACAATTATATAATGTATTCTAATCATAAAGACTTAACTTTCAAATCAATACATACTGCTCTGTGCCTAAGTTCAGCTTCCTTAAGAACTTTGGTCATTCTAGACTGCATTCGTCTTTGTTGCATCACAAGAGCTTCTAAACTAGCAACTTGCTGATCTATTTGATTTGGTTCATGTCCCATTATACCACCTACTAATGCTACATCACGAGCAAGTGCTGCATGTGGATCCGAGGTTCCACTTAAATATCGAGAACTTAATAGGTGCTTCAATTTCTCTGACTATAAAATGCAGACAAAGAAAAAAAATGCGATAAAGATACCTGTTCCATCTTTAATAATATGCATCATTGAAATTTTATACACAAGAAAATATGTAACAACATTTAACTTGAAAATATAGTATTGTAGTTTGCTCAAGAATTTATTGTAACAATTTGCATCTTAGTCAAGCACAAATCTTACCTTTAATACTGCTATTACAATATCCCGTGCCTGCAATTCTCCTTCCAGATGTCCTAATAATTTCAGTAAATCGCTTTTGCTCAATTCCATTTTTGGATTACGCTACGAACAAAACTTGTGGATTAATATCAATGAACATTGAACTCGATATATACATAAAGACTAGTTAGACAAAATTAAATTTCAAAGAATGACAACTGTCTTTGTAAACTCATACTTTTAACGTGTTAGAGGAATTCTTGTCAAGTGCCTCTACATTGTTTGGCTGTTGCAGAGTCATTTGATGCTGCTGCTGTTGCTGTTGCATCGGCGACGGTGACGGCGACGGTGACGGCGACGGCGACGGCGACGGCGACGACGAAGGCGATGAATGTTGTTGTTGATAGGTCTGCGAGGATGGTGTAGAAGCGAATGACTGCATCTTTGTAGTGCAGACCGAGATGGTTGTCGATGATCCGGATGAACCATTCGCCGGTGACACAGTTGTACTCACATTTGCGGCATTTTGACTCTGCGATGCCATTTTTGAGATGAACGAATTACCGGGATCGATCTACCCCCGATGAAGACGTGCGATTTTCGAGAAAAGTACTCGAAAAATATTCGAGAAAAGTATTCCGCGGTTAAATCGTTTCAACCCTCGGTATTAATACTTTCATTTGAACAAGAAAAGCTCCGGCCCCGAGAGCCAGCTTTTGGGACGCGCCACATCGCTCCTGAACTCGTGTTTTCCTTTACGAACTTGTTCAAATTATGCCGAATTAGTTAATCCGGCATTTAACTTTATCCTCGGTTATTGACAAATCAACTACAAAGTGTAATTCACAGATAGGAACCTATCTCGTGAAAGGGGCTACGAGATCATTTATTATCGATTGTTGCTTATCGAATATCACGATTGTGATTTGACTTCGACTTTTAAAAAGCGGCAAACTTGAAATGTACGATTCACTCACATCTTTCATATATTTACGGAACTTATTTAACAATAATATATTATTAGTATATTAACATAATAAAAAAGAAAAGTTATATTACACTTAAATAATACTTATTTGAACTGGATTATTTTACTTCAACAAAATGATAGAATTTTACTTATGTACAACTTTGTTTTCTCTATTCTAGTATCAAGTAAACGTTGATCAAGTACATCAACCCATACATTTATAATACTTTTCTGTACAATTAAATCTTATTACATTTCTCCTATCATTCAATACCCATTTCTAAACGTACAATGTATCGATTAATTAATACTTTTTTTCATACAAAATGTAAACCCAATAACAACGAATTTCTGTATTTTTAATATATACGTTTCCTTAGTTTCTTATTCCTAAAAAACTGAAGAAAGATTTAAAATATCATCATCGAGATATATTGCATTTCCTCATCGAATGCTCTCCCCTATATTTACTTTCCTTTTTAAATCATAGATAAGTGCGGACTATTTTCGACAAATTGGGAATCTTATCAGTTTTATCAATGTACTTAACACCGATGAAAATTTCGGCAGTTTATGACACATAAGCGATGAAACACTGATCAAGAATTCATCGGCATGTCTAACTTGGAAACTAAAAAAAATTCAAATTCCTCGTTGTTTATAAATTTGGAAAAATATATGGACAACATTTCCCAAATCGAAGATGAATATGCAATACCTACTGAACAAACGTAAGGGAATTAACTGATTAATTAATAATTTATATTTTTTTTATTTATGCATAGTTAAATATCTACAGAAGAAACTATTATAATTATTTAATACTAATATTTAAACGTACTGATAATTATTTTACGTGATTTTAGGGCCCCACAAGAAACCTTACCATGGGATGCTTTTAAATATTTCCCATCTGAAAAGAAAAGTGCATCAATGGAAAATAAACAATGGGTTGAATTGTCCATGCATATTATTAAAGTACTTGTATATGGCATCATTTTCTCTATTGTTCTTTGCAGTAGTTTAATTTCCAAATGCACAGTCCTTTTTGCAGTTTCACAGCTTGAAGAGGAAAAATCAATTGTGTTTTGTGATTATGACTTAGGTATTTTACAAGATTTACTTATATAATGTAAATTATAAGTATACACTTTTATAACAATGTTTAATGTTTCAGTTTCTGATGAAAATGTAAAGGCAAAAGTATCTAAAATAGGCAAAGTAATTTGGACATGGTACATCATCTTTATGTTTATTGGACCAGAATGTTTCATTGTTTTACAATCTATATGGTATTATATTTTCAAAAAGAAAGTGAAGATGCCTGAAAAGAAAAGCATTGCAGTTTTTTTAGTCATAGAGACACTTCATTCAATTGGTTTGGCACTTTTAGTTCTCTACAGTCTTCCAAAGATTAACTCTGTAGATGCTGCAGCAATTTCCAGTTGTATTTGTTTCATTCCTGTTCTACTAGGTAAGTACAGTTATTTATAAATTAAATGTTGAAAAGTATATTCATATATATATATACTCTTTTGTTACAGATATACTTTCTCAAAATCAGAGGTATACAAGTTCACCTAGAATGTTTGCATTAATTTTGATGTGCAATATTGCGGCATTAGTTGCTCAAGGTTCTGGAGTGTTTTTACAATCCTTTGTACATTATGATATATATGATCCTATAACGTGGATTTTACCTATATCTCTTCTGTTATCTTCCTGTCGCTGGTGGCCAAATTATGTTTCTGATCATAGTTACTGTGGTAATGCAATCGTTAGTGATAATAAAATTATTAGCATTATAACACTTTTCTATTCTTTAAACAGGTTTCATAAGGTTTGTAGCAGCAGTAAGAACGGATCTTTTAAACAGTAGTCATTTATTACAAGGATTTACAGCATTTTGGAGATCTTTAATCTTTATTCTGAGCGCCATTGTGATCTCAAATTTCAAGGGAATTGAAGTTGGAGAATTTTTTGAATGTATAATTCAAAGTGGATATAATGTAGAGTTGATTCAAACTTCAAATACCTCTCTCAAACTTGTTCAACAGGAAGATCATACAATTCTCACTGTAAATACTTCTGCACCTGCATTTGCATTTCTAATCCAAATTTTCTGTACTTTCCTCATATATCAATCAGGTAAGGATAACATTGTACAATAATAATAAAATAGACACAAAATAAAAATCATAAATTTAGAAGTATCCTTTGTTCTATAGTGTTTAAATTTTATTTGTAATACTGTTACAGCAATATTTGCATTTAAAACACAAATGCACAAATTTGGCTTTGCGTTTCCAATAAATTTAGTCACCCCAGGATCAATTTTAATAATAATAATACTTTGTGTTATGAGACAGCAAGATCCATGTGTCTTCCATGATTTCATACCGGATTACCTGTTTTTCAATGAACCTAGTTATAAAAGTATTAAAGATTTTATTCTAAGTTGGCGTATTTGGTGCTGGATAATATGGTGGTTATCACAAATATGGATTACAATACATCTATGGCTAGGTGAAAAAGGAAGGCTTGCTCCTGTAGAAAGAATCTTCTATAATTTAACTTATGATTCGCTTATGATTGATCAGTTCATAGGATTAAATAAGAGAAAACATAAAATGTACAATGTTACTGAAGAAAAAGAGCTTTCAGACACTGCTACAGAATTTGAGGTCCAATTTCTTTTCTTTCTATGAAAATAAAATTTTTGTACCAATTATTACTTATAAAATAAACATTCCTTTTCAGTCTGATAGCTTAAGGGAAATTCAAGGTTCGGATATGTTCCATTCAGTGTATTCAAACGAAAGTACAATGAATAAAAAAAACGCTTATACCACTCAAATTTATGCATGCGCGACTATGTGGCATGAGACCAAGGAAGAAATGAAGGAACTGATTGGAAGTATATTAGGGCTAGACAAAGATCAATGCGCTATGAGAGTTACCCAAAGTTATTATAAAATTTCCATTAAAGATTATTATGAACTTGAAAGTAAGTAACATTGATAACTAACATTGATAACTAAAGTTATTTTAGCGAAACAAATGCTTGAAGTATTGAAGAAGTATAATTGAATAATTATTTCAGCGCATATATTATTTGATGATGCATTTTGCTGTATGCATGGTTGTTCTGGAACTTGTGTCCACAATGAAAATGAAACACAGATTAATCATTATGTGACAACATTCGTGGAAACTATGCAAGAAAAGATTAAAGGCTTTGGTATACGTTCGTCACTGCCAACAAAATATCCAACACCATATGGTGGTCAACTAGTCTGGACTTTACCTGGAAAGACACGTCTGACTGTGCATCTTAAAGACAAAAATAAAATTAGACACAGAAAACGATGGAGTCAGGTACATTTGATGAGATATGCACTAAGTAATAAAAAAAGTTACATCTATGTTACAGTTATATTCTATATTAATTATCAAATTAATTTAGATCATGTACATGTATTACCTTCTTGGCTATCGTTTAATGGGTTCATCAATGGATGTTGAACATAAAGAATTAATAGCAGAAAATACTTACATTTTAACATTGGATGGTGATATTGATTTTCATCCAAGAGCTGTTAAAGCATTAATAGACTTAATGAAGAAAGACAAGGAAACAGGTGCAGTCTGTGGACGAATACATCCAGTGGGAAGAGGTGCTTCCATATTCTATGAAACATAACATTCTTTATCAAAAGAAATGAATATATTTTTAACATTGTTTTAGAGATATATATTTCTGTATATAGGCCCGATAATTTGGTTCCAGAAATTCGAATATGCCCTAGGACATTGGCTTCAAAAATCAACAGAACACGTAATAGGCTCTGTTCTTTGCAGTCCTGGTTGTTTTTCTCTTTACAGAGCAAAGGCTTTAATGCAACATAACATCATGGCAAAATATGCAACTAAATCGACTGAACCCAGACATTATATTCAGTACGATCAAGGAGAAGATCGATGGCTTTGTACATTACTCTTACAGATTGGTTATAGAGTAAGAATATTTACATCATAAAAAATTTAATTCTTTTTTAAATCAAAACTTTAAAAATTGTTCATTTTAATTAATTAGGTAGAATATTGTGCAGCTGGCGATGCTTACACACATGCTCCGGAATCATTCAAAGATTTTTACATTCAACGCCGTCGATGGATTCCATCAACTATGGCTAATATCTTTGATTTACTGGGTACTTCAAAAGAAACCAGACAATTGAATAATAGTATTTCATGGATGTACATAATGTATCAGTGGATCTTAATAGGTGATTAATTTTAAGGAATTAAACAGAATTAACTAAAAAGTATATTCCATCCCAGAAATAACTGTTTTTATAACAATCTTGCAGGTAGTACTATCATTGGACCATCTTTCATTTACTTAATGATGTCTGGTGCCTTTGTTACCACCTTTCATATAGATAACTGGCCAAGCTTTTGGTATAATTTAATTCCAATTGTCATCTTTTTTGCAATTTGTTTTTGTTTTGAAGAACGTATTCAGGTAATTATTTAGAATAACACAATGTATATAATAAATATGTATTAGGCATATTGCTTTATATGTTTTATAAGTATAACAAAAATATTAATTTAAAGTTAAAAATAGTTAATGGTACAAAATTATATATTGATATTTTCACAGCTTATAGTAGCTGAAATGATCACAGTCATATATATTTTGGTAATGATAGTTGTACTAGTTGGAATAATACTTCAAATAGCAGAAGATGGACCTGCAGCACCCAGCACTCTTCTCTTTTTCATCATAATCTTTCAATTTGTAATGACAGGCCTTATGCATCCTCAAGAAATTTCATGTTTAAGTTATGGAATCATTTATTATGTTACTGTACCATCAATGTACATGTTGCTCATTATTTTCTCTATCTTCAATCTGCATAATGTTACATGGGGTACTAGAGAGTCAAAACAACAGATCAAGGTACTTTTGTATGATAAGTCATCTTGTTTCTTCATTATCACTACTTATATACTATTACTTATAATTTTAACATTATAAATGTCCTATTGTAGATATCACAAAAACAGTTAACAAAAAGTAACAAATCACAACATAGTGAAAAGTCCAGATGGATGACATGTTCATTATCTAATTTATTCAAATGTGATTTTTGTGGGCGCAAACAGTCACAAGAAGAAGAGAAATACTTAAGCTCTATTCATAATGCTATAAATGAAATTAACAGTCGTCTAGAAAGAATAGAAAGGTATTTAGTTACAAATATAAATGTAATATACTTTATTATAGATGTTACAATAACTTTTATTGTTACAAATTCATAGTAACTACAGCAGTGACAGTGTACTAAGAGATATCGTAGAAGAAAAGAATAATGAAGAAAGCAAACCATATAATAAACAAGCAGAATTAGAAGTTACTGGTGATAACTTGTATGAAAGTACAGATTCAGAAAGTGAAACTTCAACACAAACTCCTACTATCTTTTATGAGAAATATTCCAATTATTTAGTTAGTCCTAATTGGCTTCAAAATGAACATGTGCAAAATGGGAAGGTAGACTTTCTTTCTACCTCAGAGGAAGAATTTTGGAAACAACTGATTGAAATATATTTATATCCGATTGAGAATGATGAAGAAAAACAGGTATGATTCTTTCAAGAATCTTCTACAGTTTAAAAATTCATCAAATATCTGTACCAGTATTGAATTTTTTTATAGAAAAGTACTGCAAAGGAATTGATAAATCTACGCAATGACTGTCTTTTAAAATTCCTTACATTAAATATTATATTTGTAGTAGCAATTTTTTTATTGCAAATTAACAAGGACGTCTTACATCTTCAATGGCCTTTTGCTGTTCAATATGATATTACTTATGTACTGGACACTGAAGAAGTAGACAAAGAAGTAATATGAGCTCAATATGAAACATTATATTAATATTAATTTAAATACTTCCTAATGTCAGTACAAATTATGCAACATTTTTTAGGTACATATAATGAGGAAATATATGCATCTGGAACCAATTGGATGTCTGTTTATTTTTGCATTTGTTGTTATTCTGTTAATACAATTTTTGGCAATGTTGGTCCATCGATTTGATACATTTACCCATGTCATAGCTAATGTGAAATTGCAGATACCTTTCTGTGGCAAAGTAATATAATATATGAAGTTCTTTCATTGCAGAATTACTTTTATAAACATATATTTAATTTTTTCAGGCAAAATACACAGATGATTTAATTACTAATAAAGAAGCAAACAATATAGCTAACGGCCTCCAGAGTGCAATAGAAAATGAAACAATATACAATTTGAAAAATAATGTAATGCCTTATTTAGGAAAACGAATAACTGTTCAAGAACTGATAGAAGAGAGTCAGAATGTTCCAACAATGCCTACTAATTTTGAAACACTTTTTCGTAAAAAACTGAATGAACCTTATTCATCTGGTAATCATTTGTATTAACACTAATAATGATAGTTAATGAATGCTTATACTAAGAAAGAAGTACATATTTTCTGTTAAATATACTGTTCTAGGTTTTTCTAAGATAATATCTTCAAATGTATCCAAAGATGCAATGGAAGCATTTGAGAGCCGTCGCTCTAAAATTATAGCAAAACAGAAAAACGATCGACCTATAAACATTGTACATAATGAAGACAAACATGGTGAAATGGCAAATTTCAATAATGTAAAGACAAATAAGAAAGCAAACAGTTATGAATATGATAACCCAACATTCTTGAATGACACTAATGTATAATTTTCACTATTGATATATTTCTTAGTATAGTTTATTTAGTTTTTAGTCTGTATGCATTATTTTTATATAATTAATTAAATAAATCTAATTTAGAAAATGAAAACTTATGAAATTATATCAGTCATTACTTCAATAATTGTCATTTATCCTCATCATTAATAGAACATGAATAAAGTATAAGTATTTTCTAATTAATAATGCTATGAAACGTTTGATTAGTTACCCTTTAATAAATTAAATTTAACAAGAAATAGATGCTTGAGTTAAGGGTGCGCAGGACCACGCAGGACCCAGAGCAAGAGCCAAACTCCGAGTCGACTTCAACGACAGTTGCGGAAAAAGTAGGAAACTCCGGGACAAGGACAGAGAGGGCGATACAACAATTGCAAGAGAGACGAGGACAGGACGATTAGGCAAGCATAATTTTTTTTCCAAGATATTGTAGCAAAGAAGCAATATTTTCTAATAATTCTGGTTTTTATATATTTGTTACACTTTGGCGGATGCGACTCCAAGGCCTGATTTTGCAATTTCGGCTTTAAAACTTTATAAAAAATAAAGTATTATTGATTAAAAGGTGTCGGTGACGCCATCTAGCAGGAACAGTGGGAACTATTTTCATTACAAACTTGAGCATTTTCACTACCGATGACGTCACTAGTATTAAAACCTGCTTACAGAGCGGCTCACTGAGCGGTGGCTCTGTTCTTCATGTTGTCCCTTGTCGGTATTGCTTGATTGCTCGCATAAAAGGACTTGATCTATTTGTATAAATTTACGTTATTTTTTGTGTTAACTACTTCGTGGTTGTACTACTGTATACTACTAACCATACTGATTTTTAACCCTTCGACCACCGTCGACTGTATAGCATATTCCTAAGCAATGCTTTTAAAATTCCATTCTTAATCATTAGATTTTCTGTAAGAAAACGAAAATGTCACCAACAAGAGGAAACTTACGGGACTCTAGTGGCGACTCAGGTAAAAAAAGTAGCAACATTAATCTAATATTTGTTACTGTTTCGAGAATAACGTAAAAATATATTTATTTTAGGTTCAGAGTCAGACCCTCAATCAGGATCCTCTAGATCAAGCCGCAGCGGCACACCATCTAACACTGCGAATTCTACCCATGATAGAAATCCTGATGTTGAAAATGAAGCACAATCAATAGGGTCAAATGTCAGTGGAAGGTCTTCTAGATCTAGTAGTCAATCTGTAGAAGAAAAAGCAGATTCCAGACATACTTCCAAAAGTCCATCTCCAGCTAGGTCAGATTCCAGACATTCAAGTGTTGGATCTGCACGAAGTGTTAGATCTGTACAAAGCATTGGATCTGTGCGAAGTGAGAAATCTGTAGGAAGTGAGAAATCTGCACAAAGTGAGAAATCTGGTTCACGGAGATCCAGAAGTGGTACTCCAAAATCAGTTGCATCAAATAATAGTGAATCACAAAGGTCAAGATCATGCTCTCCACAAGAAAGGACATCAGAAAGTCCAAAATCTACAAGGTTAGTTATTAATTTATATGCGATAAGGCAAGAGATTACAACAATGATGTCCAACTAAGTTTATATTTATTACTTTATTTCTAAAAAATGACAATGTTGTACTCTGAAATTATTATACTAATATTTCTAGAATGTTAAACTCCCCTGGTAATGCAAGAACTGAGCCTGCAGACTCAGGACAAAAAGCAGATAGTTCTGAAGAAAATAAGGAAGATAATGAATCTGAAAAATCATTAAAAACTAGAGGTCTAATAACCAAAAATATTAATAACTAGTACTCGTTTTAAAAGTAAAGTATATATTGTTTATTTCAATGTATTATAGGTAGTACAAAATCCAATGATAGTGACAGAGAAGGAAGCCCAGTTCAAAAAGAAGATAACAGTGGCTCTGCTTCTGAGCTGGATGATGGAATGAAAAGAGTGAAGCGATTGATAGACTCTGATTCGGAAAGCGAAACAGCAGAAAAGGAAACTGTTGCTCCAACGGCGGATGCTCTTTTCGGAGATGCTAGTGACATTAGTACAGATGATGAAAAAGACAAGGAAGATGAAAAGAAAGAGAAAAGTCGTAGTAGAAGTAGGAGTAAAAGCAGAAGCAGAAGTAAAAGTAGAAGTAGAAGTAGGAGCAGAAGCAAAAGCAGAAGCAGGAGCAGGAGCAGAAGTAGAAGTAGAAGTAGAAGTGCAGGCAGATATGATAGTGGTGGTGAAGGACCTAGTCAGGCATTCATTGAAGGTGTATGTATAAAATATGATAACGATTAAAAATTTATTAAAAGAAGTGAAAATAATTTCAATTAATTACTGATTTAATTTCTTACAGGATGCAGAGAAGGAGAAAGAAGAAGAGCCTGAACCACCACCAGAAACCAGAATCGATGTAGAAATTCCAAAAATTTCGACTGATTTAGGTCGTGAAATACACTTTGTGAAACTGCCAAACTTCCTTTCAGTAGAAACACGGCCATTTGATACGGAAACATATGAAGATGAGATTGATGAAGAGGAAACTTTAGACGAAGAAGGTCGAGCTAGGTTAAAATTAAAGGTAGAAAACACTCTTCGTTGGAAAGAAATTTTTGACGATGAGGGTAAAGTTGTCAAGGAAAGCAATGCCAGGTTTGTAAAGTGGTCTGATGGAAGCATGTCTTTGCACCTGGGCTCCGAGATCTTTGATGTATACAAGCAGCCACTTCAAGGTGATCACAATCATCTCTACATCCGTCAAGGAACAGGTCTTCAGGGTCAGGCAGTGTTCAGAACTAAGTTGACATTCCGTCCGCATTCTACAGAGTCCTTCACTCATAGAAAGATGACAATGTCGCTTGCGGATAGATCACAAAAAACTTCCGGTATAAAAGTACTATCGCAAGTGGGAACTAATCCAGATCAAAATAGATATGAAATGATTAAAGTGAGTCACGTTTAATCAATTTAATTTTGCTATGCATGACATTCATAGATAACATTAAAATTATTATAACTTTTAGAAAGAAGAGGAGAAATTACGTATGGCAATGAGAGTTCAAAGTAAGACAAAGAAGAGTACTACAGGAAGCAGAAATCCTGCGAGATCTGTTGGAGGATATGGTGGCGACGCTTACCATGACGATGGTTCAGACGACGAAGGTGCCATTTCCCTTGCAGCAATTAAAAATAAGTATAAAAAGGGAATGAGTGCTCCTGTTAAAGGTAAATTAAAATCTGATAAACACTAATGTAATATTTTATTTAAATAATTCAAGAGTGTATGTATATTTTAATATTTTTAGCATCAAATATATATTCATCGGATGAGGAAGGTTCAGATTTTGAAACTCTCAGACCGAAAAAGAACATTAAAGGAAAGGTTCTTAAAGATTCGGATGAAGAATCAAATTCAGGAAGTGCTTCAGAAAGCGGAAGAGAAGATGACAATCAAGGCGATAATGCTAGCGATTGAAATATCAGCTTTGCATTAAGACAAGCTATTTTTGTAATATAAACAAATAAATTAATTTCTTTTTTGAAGTATTAACTGCTAAGTGATTCTCGAATTCATGACATTGATGCGTATCTTTATTAATCAATAAGAAGTATTTTAATAAAGTATTTGAAATTAGTATTCAAATCATCGATTATGCATAGGTCTAGGACAATCTAGAAATTTTTTACTACGAATAATTGGCAGCACTGATACTTGCGCAAAGAACACGGCGATCTGTGCCTGTCTGTGCCACGAAAGCATTTTTATCTAACGAACCAATTATTCTTGGGGCATAACCCATCACCAACTAACCAATATTCTTATAATTCAGAATTACTACATTCGAATTTGTGAGTATAATTGCAGCCTTCGTTATCGATAATAACCAATTAAGCTAATCGTATCAACGCTACTCACGCATGTTTATAAGTTTACAAGAAGCGGCAAATTTTTAATAAATATTGTTCTGTAGTTACATAAATATATTGAGAAACTATACTTCATCAATTACCATGCCTTTGTTCGACTGTTAGTTACATTTTTGTTCTTAGGTTAATCGCACGTGATTTTCGATTACGTACGTTAAGCAGTTTAATAAACATTCTTCTTGTATTTCCTTTTTGTGTAAGTGGATTCAAATAATAATTAAATGTTTAGTCGATATTAAAATGTCATCTTCTTCGCAAAAGTACATTAAAACTGTAATACAAAAATATAAAGTATACAAATTTGATCTTTTTAAAGAGGATGAGTTAATATCAAATAAAATGGGAGTTTTTGAACTCACTCGCACGATTAATCAATTTATTACTTACAATTGAGCTATTAGCGAAGTTAAATTAACCTGTTTTTTTTACGAATTATGCAATATAACCTTCTTTCTTTTTTAGGAAGTGCTTAAACACGAAATTTTTGATAAATCAATTTATGTTTATGCAATCCAAGGATTTGTATAGGAATTGTGAAAATAGTGTTCCTTGACTTTACAAAACTTTTATACTAATACACTGGTATTAACTTCAAACTAATATTGAATGTTTAAACGTTTTTAATTTAATTTTGTGAAACCGTTTAATTTATTGTATTTTTTGTACTAGTTTTGTATTAAATAGTCTGTTTGCAATAATTAATTTTTTTGTACTAATAGAAAATGAAAATTATTCTAGGTTTACAATGGTTGCCCACACTGTACTTTTGGATTTCACCGTTCCATCAAATGTAATAGCGGATGTAGAGAAATGTTCCAATCTAAAATTAGCAATTGCTAATGTTCTGAGGGAACACTTCAATGGTCTGAAACCATTAACTGAATCAAACATTGATGGAAGTCTTCTGGTACTCTATACTGGTCCTAAAGGTAGTTTGATTACCGTACGAGGATATACAGAAGGCTTGGTCACTCTTAACATAGAGTATTATAAAAGAGACGATGAGGAAGCACTCTTGAACTTTGAGGTACAGTCACTTATGTTAATTGCCATAATCATTTTGCAATACCTAGTTGCGAACATTACAATATTTAGTTGCCTGTCATGGGTTTTGAATACAAAATCAGCTTTGGTATCTCTCAAATACACGGGGTCATTACAAGGTACATCTTGTTACATATTATAATTTGTTTACATGTTATGACAATGGTTATATTAAGCATATTTCTGAAAACTTAAACCTCTATATGCAAACAAGCATTCTATAAAATAAATCGTAAATGTAATATGAAAAACTGAAGTTACAAGATTAATGTACTGTAAAAAAATCATCGCTTGGCGGGTGCTACTATAGAAATAAGTAGAAATTTTACTATATGCAAAAGAAACACGTGTAACAAAGAGGACCTTGTAGCAGTGGCGATACCTGGAAGCGGACGTTGCGATGGCTCTGAATAGCCAACGCAGCAAGTGCCTGCCACCAGTAAGGCGAGGAACCATATATGACCTCTATCTGACACTATCAGGTAGAAACCGTTTCCCCAATTAGTTCCCATATTTAGTTTTCTATAGCACCTTATAAATGTGCGACTCGTTTCCATTGCACTCTAAAACGTCAACAGCTCCAATTGATTAATTCTTCCGGTTGGCGCGTATTTTTCCCTGGTGTTTCTTTTTGGTTCTTCAGCAAGGGGATTTGAAATGACTTGACGCATATGTAAAAGGCGAGTGATTACGATTGGTTTAACAAGATAGTTTCTGTTTTTTTTTTATTCGTCGGTTCGCTTGTCGCGGCCACCTTTAGTTGACCAGAGAATTGGAGACAGCGTTGCAGGCGGCAGCAGCCTCTACGCGTTCGCACATGCTTACACCAATTAAACGCGGTGGACCTTTTGACAGATACTTTCCTACCGCCGGTGAGTTTTTTATTTATTATTCTGTTTACGGTACAAGTCCAATTCTGTGTCCGCACAATTTTTAATTTTATCGTAATATCGCCAATGAATATTGCCTTCAACTCATATTCTCGGTTACATGATTCATTCTTCTGAGCTATTAACATTATTTTTCGCGTGAAGGAAATATCGTTCTTCGTTACATTATGATTTTTTAAATTGTGTGTTTATACATGATAATTGTATTTTAGTTGTACATACTTGTATCTCCATTTTTAAATAAATCATCACCGTACCTTGCGCTTTATCAGTTTTGTTGCAGTATTCACGCAACAGTTTACGTAACTGATTTGCAACACAAGCAGCAAACACAAAAAGAAACATAAAATAAACGTATTTTAAAATCTCAAAACGACACTAAAAATTGTAACTACTAAAAATCCTACAATTCTTACAGCTGTATGTATCCGATGAATGACGTTATTTATTCCTACAGTTTACATGCCGCATTAGAAATACATAAAGATTGTTAAATATAAGTAGTGCGGTAGATTTAGTAATACGCGCACGAAACTCCTAAAACCTCAATACTTTGATTGTTGTTCATTTTATTTTGGATGTAAGGAATTGTTTCTTTTTTTTTTCTTTTTGACATATTTGTGCTTTGCATTTGCATGCATCTATTGATCCATTTGTATCAAGAAGTGGGATATTTCATTTAAAGCCTAGAGTACCTCATTGATCAAGGCAGGTCTGGGCCACTTACTTTTTAGAGGTCACCACGCTTCTTTTAATCTTTAGTGTATTAAAGAAATAACTTTTTTGTGCAGTAAGTAATATTTTTAGTACAGAGACCAATGTTGCTGTGACCTCTGTAAGTGTACGGCCTGGGCCAAGCGGTAACGTAAGCATTGAGTTATCTATATTAACGAATGTGGAACAATCCACAAATAGTGTAATGATCTAGAATAAGGAAAATTGTCGTTGGTACCAGCCGATGTTGTAGATAACCCGTGGTATATTAAGATGAGTAATGCAAATAAGTTTTAAAAATGTCAGTGTTTACAGATTACTCTACATTCGGTAGTGTAAATAACGCAACGCGTTTTGCTTTTTGATACAAGCGGGTTAAATGCTTTGTTACGCGATCATTTGAATTGTGTAAATTTTTAAATTCTTATGCGATCGTATTTCTTTTTTAAGATGACAGACTGCTTGAATATGATATAGATAAATTGGTCTTTGAGGCACGCTCTCCTTATCAAAAAGTGCAAATCGTGCATTCAAAGTCACTAGGGAACTTATTGGTTCTCGATGAATTGCAGAGTAAGAAACAAAAATATTTTCTTTTCAAACCAGAACGAAAGACTTTAAAAATTAGAAAATTTCTAACAGAAAACTGTACACTCTGTAGATATATCTGAAGCAGACCTTATATATACAGAAACATTGATGCAGCGTGGAAAGGAGAATTATACAGGAAAGGAGATAGTTATTTTAGGAGGAGGGGATGGTGGTTTACTCTGGGAACTGCTCAAGGAAAAACCAAAATTCGTTACAATGCTAGAAGTATGTAAAAACTACAAAATAAAAAATTGTACACCACGTTTTATCGAAAAATAATTTTCAGATTGATGATATTGTTATAAAAGCTTGCAGTCAACATATGAGAACCATATGCGGAGATTGTCTAGATAAAAGAAAGGCAGAGAACTATGAAGTTGGTTTTAATAAAATAAAATTTTCTTCCCGAACTGAAAATAAGAAGGCGGTTATGTTTAATGAAAAATTCGAAACTTATAGATTATCGTTGGAGATTGTGCAAAAACTTTAGCACACATGATAGAAGAAGGTCGACAGTTCGACTACGTCTTTGGTGACCTCACTGACATACCGATCAGTACTACTCCGCATGGTGATGCATGGGACTTTATGAGACTTATTCTAAATTCCTCAATGAAAGTTTTGAAGCCTACTGGGAAATATATGACTCATGTGAGTACGCTTGATATTAGTTTTTTTATTATTTGATAATTATGTTCGAGAATAACTATTATTCCGTGTTATAGGGCAATGGAGCATCCTGTCCAGAATCGCTAGAAATGTACGAGCAAGTCCTCTCACAACTTTGTCGACCAGTAACATTTACTAAAAATAGCGCTTTTATACCCTCTTTCTTCGAGGATTGGGTCTTCTACCAAGTATCGTTAAAATGATGGATTAAATGTACAACCTTGAGGTTCCAGGGAAGGCATGCTCACAACCCATTTCCTCCCTTATGACCCATATTCAACCCTAGTCGCAGATGTTTTGCTAACAAGTCGGTATCTAAAAGAAAAGATCCCGATGCTGGACATAAAATTCCGATTGACACTACTACGCTGGCGTCTGTACATATAAAAGGTGGTGGTTATTTGTCCTTATTTAATTGTTTAGTAACTAATAAACTATACAAAGGTGCTCAATTATTTTTTCAAATAACTGTCAATAATCAAAACGAATCATCCAATGGTTTAATACAAGTAACTCCAAAGAAAGCAATACAAGAAGATTAATTACTGTACAAATATAAGCCAATAATTAACCCTTTAATGCTTTAATTTATTTATTAACACTATGAAAATATAAGAAGTTAAAGGAAAGCAAATAAATATGTACTCATTTTTTTTTTTTTTTTTTAAACATAGAGTACAAATATGTCTCAGGGTCGAATTGCTTTTATGTATTTATATTTACTAAGTAAGTTTTAATTCGTACTATAACAATTTTTGTACATAATAGAAATATCACAAGTATATAATATATCAGGCAATAAGGGGTTAAGGAATACATAGAGAACTAACCGATTAACACCCAACTAATACGTTAATTTTTACTGTCTTTGTCAGTTACTTGAATTCTGTGAAAAAAAATTCATAGCTGCATTAATCTTTATTTTTTTTATTAAAATATTTATAAAAAAATGTTTAAAAATAATTAGAAAAAACAGTAGAAAATTAAAAAGCTTCCAATTACTGGTTAGCGGAGAAAATTTAAATTGTAACTACAAATATTGATCATATTTGATTATCGTTTAATTAGTTTTCATTAATTAAAAAATATCATAGTATCATTAATATTTCGATATAATTAACATGTTTAAACTCGTTTTAATATCACTGTTTATGCATATTAACATTCGTAAAATAACACTGAATTATTATTATTACTTTTTCCATCACGGGTATTAAAATCATTATTAATAATTAATAAAGTGTGTTCCTTTTGAAAATCCTTAAGATTAATAGCTTCCCAATACTGACAGTATTACAATCTTCTTGATAATTGATAATATTGATCCTTAATTACTAAGACGAACATTCCGTAATTAATTAATATTAGATTAACAATAATATAAATAAATAAATATATAATCAAATGCATGGAAAAAAATGAATATGAGCTATTCAATTATGATGAAAGATTTGATCCCAAGAAGAGATATCTTTTATCTCTAGAAGAATAAAGAATAAATAGATTATACAAAACTTTATGGTGGGTTGGTCGGTTAAATAAAAATATTTATTTTATGTTTCTAATTGGAGATTTGTGTAGACACACGTCTCTGATATTTCAGGTAGCTTTTCTACTTCATGAATGGTTGGTTCTATTTCAGTTTCCAGAACAATCTGGTCTAACCACTGTTGAACTTGTTCTGGGAGTTCATAAGAATTGTGTTGTTCTTCCACAATGTTTCTTATTGAATTTTTGAAACATTTGCCATCGTCTTGTTGATCAATACTAACATTTTGTAGATTAAAATCGTTTATTTGAAATTCTAAGTTTGCGTTTGATGACTGGTCAAGCATGTTTTCAGAATCTTTTTCTTGGAAATCGGTAATATTACTCAATTTATCTGTTAAGTTTGTTACACTAAAAGTCTTTAATTCATTACAAATATTTTCCATCTTTCTGTCTTCTGCCATAGAAGAAAATTCCATGTTTGTATTCGAAGAAATAATTTCTGAAATTTTAATGGACTTGTCAAAGCTGACATGGTCTTTATTAATGTCCTGGTATTCCTGAATTTGATAGGGTTCTAAATTAGTTATAGCTGTCGAGTTTGAACCTGTCAGCTCTATTCTTCCAAATTGTTTGATTTGTTCTTCAAGTATATTTCTCTCATCTAGTATTGCTATAGATGGAGGAAGAGTTTCTTGGCTAGATAATGCCAAAGATATTTGTTGTCTGTAAATTGCCTCTGATTGTCGTAAAAGTTGTTTCTCTCTAGCATATAATGTTTGTGCCAAACGAGCAAAGGATACTTTAATTTCTCTTTGAACCTTAAAATTAATTACATACAATGATGAAACATTTATTTGAACAAAATAGTGTTATAAATTAGCATTAGATTAGGAAAATACATTGAAAAAAAGAATTTAAGTATAAACAATTTTTAAGAAAATAGTCCAATGAACTTAACCTTAAAATTTGTATTCAAATCATACAAAATAGTTAACCAAAAAAAGCAATAAAAATACAACAAGTGTACCTGAAGATACTGTTTTTCCAAAAAAGTTTTCTTGTCAGCTACTAGTTTTATCCTGTCAATATTGTTATCGTTCTCGGTATTATCTTCATTCTTTTCTGTCATGTTACTTAATGGATGTATCCAGTGAAATAATTCGTTTTGTCACGAAACTTTGTCAACAACAAAACACGGAAATCAATATTATTGAAATTTTAGTTATTTTTCAAAGACACGTGAAACTAACAATCCGATAGATCCGAAACCTAATCACAAACTTCTTAGTTCCAAATTCTGTTGCACCCGTTAGATTCACACTGCCATCTTGATGGTTGAGAAATTTTCAATATTCTTTCACTGATATAAAACACCAACTCATACAGAACTGCAAATCTTGTATATCATACAAAATATTTAAAAGCACATTTATATAAAAAATGGTTGAAATAAAATACTTAAAATCAACTTAAAACTATATGTGTCATCTCTACACTTTACCTATCCTATGGTTCTTAACGCGTACACAGGTTCCACTACATAAAATCATAATAATGTAAACTTTTCTGCAATTGCCTTTATTTACCAAAAAAGAATTTTGTCGTACAGATACTTTTCCTCTTATTCCTCTTTTTTCCTCTCGCGTTTCCTACAAGTGAAACGTGCGTAACATATGTATACGACTACAATAGACACTAGTGAAACATCTAATTATAGTAATTTTCAATTAAATATACAGTGGATTCCATCAAAAAACTTTTTCAAATATTTAGTCTCGAGTCTAGTACACGTTGATAACGATTTTTCTTATTGGTACATAATACAACGAATATCTATTGCCCCCTACGTAAATCTACAATTTTTATTAAGAATAAAGTTTGCATGTACATCTTCCATAAAATCGCACGTAAACCGAGATATTTTTTACTCTTTTAATGATAAAAAATATCACGGCTTATCTATCGATTGAACAGTAAAACGTAATAACTATGGCAGCGGAGATATGTGTATTTTTTTTTTATAATTAATACGTTGACTGTCAGACTAACACTCGTGAAAATTTCTACAGAGTTAAAATGTTTCAAGACAATTGGGAACTAGATAATCTAACAATTTGCTCGTAGCACTTATTTTTCTGATTTTACCAAATTTACCAATTCTATCCAGATTTATTTTCTTTAATACCTCATATTCAGAATTAATTCTTTTAGTTTTTCTTCTTTTATGAAAAGCTCTGTCACCTATACTATATGGGTGACATAGGGGCCAACCTGTTAAATTCAAGATGTGCAGTTATTTTGATTTACCGTACGCGTCCGATATCGCTAAAATAAGTCAGCAGCTAAATTTGTGATTAGGCTTACGCAAATAGTTTCGGCGATTTCGAACGTTCGCGAAGTACTACGGTTTCTACCATCTTTACAATTAGATTTTTTCCAGAATATAAAATTGCATCGATCCATCGTTTAAGCGTACAACAGTTTTTTTGCGAACTATTCGCGTACACCGAAAATTTCTTGTATTTATAATATAAATATTAATTGATAATCTAAATACACTTAAGCTAACATACTAAACGCGATTTCTGAACACTTTAGTCCCCTTGTATTTTTAAATGGGGACTCTTCTATCCGTTGAATAAGAGTCTATTACCTAGAACATACAAAAAAAAAAAAAAAGAAAGAAAGAAAGAACAAGAAAACTGTCTTCTAATTAACAAAAATGTTGTTCGGAAAAGGGAACACGATCAAAGTTCTTTCCGAATCGAAGGAAACGGACAATTCTACGAGAAGTTACACGAAAGCGATAACATAAAAATGACATAGTTACGGTTAGTTTGTTAAATTAATGATAGTCGGGAAGTAGTAAAAATTAGGAAGATAAATTCCTTTCGGAGTCGAGATAAATCCGTGGCAGTTAAAGCGGTGTTAACTCGAGCGATGGCTGGCCCATCTTCATTCGCAGGCTCGCTACGTCGTCTTCTATTCGTACCAACAACTTGAATTTCTAGAAAACATAAATACTAATTGGCTTAGAAATTTGTTAACGCTATATACAAAAATCAGAAATACTGTACCGTAAAGGATTAAGGGGTGAGTCTGGTCCAGCTAATGTACATATTTTTGTTATTGAAACTTTGTTTAGATATAAAGGGACGTTCAAAGAAGAAAATTTGACAGTGTAGATTTAATTTGAATGTATGTACATACATTCATACATACATATACAAAAATTAATTATATCTGGAAATTATATGCATTAGAAAAATATGTACATTAGCTGGACCAGACTCACCCCTTAAACGATAAGAGAATAGAAATTCGCGAATTACCGTTGAATTGTCGCCTGGCGTTGTCATCCAGGAGTACAGCATGTAACCAGGTATACAGAGCATCGACGATAAGGCTGTCATCCAGCCAAGCACGTGCGACCACCACGGATATTCGTAGTCTAGATATTTTACAGGTGTCCATTGTACCAGATTGAAGATGAAAACGCCCTGTTGCGAAAGATTACGATTAAACGACACGATTGAAACGAACGATATCAATGGAAACGATCGACTCACGACACAGATCATCGGTGTAGTAAACGTCCAACAGAGCTTCCACCACATGAGAGGGTAGTAGCCTATCATGTCCCTAATGGCATCGTAAAATCGGTTGACGCCGAAGGCCCAGCTTATCGAGATGCATTCGAAGAAAATTAAGAACAGAAGACAGAATCCGGAAACGGCGTACGAGTCGAGGATCTGGAAGACGTACATCCCGCCTTGGGAGATGCAGGATAATCCGATTATGTAAGAGAGCACGCAGACGATCGCGATGAATATCTCCTTGCGTCGACGAAGCAGCTGAGGCCACTCGTCCACCTGGATTCACAGTCGTTCGTTCAGTTTCTAGGTTTTTAAACGTGCATCTACAGGCTGGTTACGTATAAGTTACGCAGAATGTCAATTCTACAACAAATATCCAACAAAAAATTACTCTTAGACATATTCTTTGTGGCGCCTTGTTCTCGAGTATTTTCACTTTTAATATTTTTTCTGCGTTTGAGACTTCGAGGAAGTTTTTCCCGAAGAGTGCCCGCCAAACAACTATGTCTTACGGAACCGAAAAAACGAATACAGAAAACGTTAAACTTTTGTAAATTTTCACAATGTAAAGTTTGACCTAATTCTTCACTTGTTAAATCTACGTAATAGATTTTGCTTTGGCATCAGGGAGATGGTAAATTTAACGTTCTTTCGAATGGTATACTTAATTTTAAGCTTGCACTGTAATTTGGTAGAGTTATGGCCGTTTAAAGAGTGTCAAGACGAGAACGCATACAAAATATTAAAAGTGAAAATTCTCGAGAATAAGGCGACACAAAGAAAATGTCTAAGAGTAATTTTTTGTTGTAAATTTTGTTGTAGAATTGACACGCGACTGCGTATGTCCGAACTTATACGTAAACACCCTGTATAGAGACCTGTAGAGTCTCGCATTACCATCGCAGTGATGAACCCTTCCATGGTGCAAAACTGAGAATCCAACCCGATGAGAAGAAGCATAAAAAAGAACAGGCAAGACCAAAGAGGCGCTCCTGGAAGCTGGAGAACCGCCGAAGGATAAGCTAAAAATGCTAATCCCGGACCGGAAGCAGCGACCTCCTCGACAGGCTTCTGTTGCTCGTGAGCCATAAAACCGACCACGGAGAATATTACGAAGCCAGCGAACATACTCGTCGACGAATTCACCGAGCACACGATTAAAGCGTCCTTGTAGACATTGTTCGTGAACTTGTTGTAACTACCTAGAGCCACTAGGGTTCCCAATCCCAATCCGTACGAGAAGAAGATTTGCGTGACCGCGTCAATCCACACCTGCAAAATCAATTCTAGAATCTCCTGGTAGGCCGACGATCGTATTCAGTTACCTCTGACTCTTTCAGCTTGGAAAGGTTCGGGCTGATGTAAAATCGAATGCCCTCCATGGCCCCAGGCAGCGTGATTCCACGGATCAAAAGAATCGTCAGCAGAACGTAAGGGAAAAGGGAGGTGAAGTAGACGACCTTGCCGGTCCACTTTACACCCTTCCAAATGCAGAAGTAACAGAGGATCCAGACCAGAAGGAGAGTGCCAGCCAGTTCCCAGCGAATGTGACCCACGTGTTCCACGCCCTCGCTGATCTGGAGCGCTCGTCGCCTGGAAAACAAATCAGTTTTCGAGGATTTCCATGTTTAACTTGGTCGAGTTTTATTGTCTAATCGAGCTTGATCGAACTTACTCCCAGAATTCTTTAACCGGATCAGTGAGATCCGTGACCGTCACGTTGACGTCGTTGACGGAGCACCATTTCACCTCTGTATGCCTGACGACTTTATTCCAACATAACAACGAGTCCCTGTCATAGGGGTTCACGCAGTTCTTCGTGTTCCAGTAGTTGTTGCAGCTTCCCCAAGGTAATTCTAATCAAGCAAGAGAAACCAATGAGTTCCTTCGACGGGGAAAAGGCCTTAAAAGTGGCTTTCGCAATCTTATGTACAGGGTGTGGCAGAAATAAATCCCACATTTTAAGAAACGATTGAAAAAAAGTGGTACGAGATAGCACCAGAAACTTTTTATTTCTTAAATCTAGATGTAAAAAAGTTTTGTTTACTTTATGTTTTAAAAATTATGTCGTCCAAATGATTTGGAGTCGTTCTTGAAATTTCCTCTTGGATGGCCTCCTTTAGTTCATTCAAGGACCAAGGACGATGTTTGAAAACCTCGTCCTTGAGGTATCCCCACAGAAAAAAGTCACATGGACTTAAATCCGCCGAGCTACGGCGGCCACGGAACTCTTTCGCGTAAAGAAATCACTCGACCGGGAAACACCATCTGCAAAATTTCGCGCTGACGACGCCCTGTATGGACCGTAGCTCGGCGGATTTAAGTCTATGTGACTTTTTTCTGTGGGGATACCTCAAGGCCGAGGTTTTCAAACATCGTCCTTGATCTTTGAACGAACTAAAGAAGGCCATCCAAGAGGAAATTGAAAAAATTTCCCCCGAAATGCTAGCGAGAGTGATGGAAAACTTTCAAGAACGACTCCAAATCATTTGGACGACATAATTTTTAAAATATAAAGTAAACAAAACTTTTTTACATCTAGATTTAAGAAATAAAAAGTTTCTGGTGTTATCTGGTACCATTTTTTTTCAATCGTTTCTTAAAATGTGGGATTTATTGCTGCCACACCCTGTACAACTTATAGTGAGACGAACCGCTACGCATGGACATGAAGAAGTAGAAAATGGCCCAGGCGAGTATTACGATATAGTAGACATTCATCCAACAGGACATGACAGCCGCCGCGTAACCGATACCCTTGAAGAGGGGCGCTATTTTGAAGACACCGAGGCCGCCAACGGTGAGCATCTGACCAAGGGCGAGCTCCATGAAGAACATCGGGATTCCAGCGAGTACCAGCGTCAAGAAGTACGGAATTAAGAAGGCACCGCCGCCATTTTTGTAACAGAGATACGGAAATCTCCACACGTTTCCTAAACCGATCGCTAGGCCAACCTGTTGTTGAACAAATTGAGTTAACAAGGTTTATACTGGTAAACAGAATGGGGAAACGACGTGGTGGCATGTGTCGATAAGAGCTGTCTTTGACCTTGTATTAAGGGACGAGAAACATTTGTTAGAATGTGGACGTCAACTTAGGCCAGTGTCATAGTCACCTAGGAGGTCCATTAATCTCTTAATCGATAACTTGCATCGCGCGAAATTGTCTTAATTCTTCGATTAATTTAAACAAATAACGTATCGATGTATGACACTATTGTTGGTGCAATGTTGTATTATAATTTATTACGTCGATTACGTGGTAATCAGGGGTGTTACACGTACGACGATGAGAAGTTGGTCAGAGGGTCTGATTAATTACGGTATAATCTCCTAGATTATGCTATGAAAGGTAGGGCTATAGAAAGGAGATTATACCATAGTTAATCAGACCTGCTAACCAACCAGTCTCTTCGTAATACAGGGGATGACGCGTGCAAGATTTATTTATACATATTACGTCTACCGGAAAGTTCTGTCCATTTCTAGAATGAAAGAAAATAATAAATTTTTCACGCTTTGAATAAATTTGATCGAATAATATGATTTTTATCATTATTTATGACATCTTGCCAGCGTGATCGCAATTTGTATATCGTTTTTAACGAATATACGCATACTTGTTGAAACTTGTTGTAACCGAATCGGACAGAACTTTCCGGTAGGACCTAATATTTATATCTACTAATATTAATGTAGTTTTCAAAGATTTTCGATGCTACGCCAGACAAACATACGGAACTTTCCCCACGTTTTATTTTAGATTTCTACTTCGAATTTATTCAAAAGAGCTCAGAGTCAAAAGCTGCCGTTATCGACACTCGTCCCTCGGAAAATTACCACACTCAAAATGAAGTCTAGTTTGGTGCTCCATGTACCGCGCTCTGGTAGTGGTTTCGATTTGCTAGACGAGGCCGTCAAATTCAAAGCAGTTTTGTCGGGATTCTCGGGATCCGCGAGCTCCGGTTCCCTCGATGCTTCCGTCATTTTGATAGCTCTCTGTCGCCTGCCTGTAAAAAGGTTCCTCCGCTTCCGCTCTACCTCGGCTCCTTTCGCGCGCGTTCCTCCACAACTCGTGGAACTACCGCGAAGACATAACAATGCTTCGACAATGATACGGTTCGCAGCTCGTACACCTTCTTCGAGCGTTTGATACTTGGACGATGCTCGAAAACGTCAAGGGGATGTAGGAGTCTCCAAGCTCGTCAAACGTGATGTTCTTCTGGGGCGTACGCGAGCTGTGAAGTGCAAAGTTTATATTACAACGAGATTATTCGATTAAACATTAATGGCATATCCGGATCTTGTCCTTGATGTTTACGGATCTAAATAAACTTGATTCTCGAGACGAGATATCAGGACCCAACTTAGAAAACTAGAAATTAGAATGATACATAGATAATTGTTTAAACTAAACAGAAATCGTGAAAATAATCGGACGAAGAAATTTATACAGAAGAATGATACAATAATCTGATAATTCGCGAATAACAGTTAATTATATTTATACATCAGAAAATATACAACATATGAATGATGTATGCTAGTATTTACCCAAAATTTTAAGTTTTAATATAGCGTGGTAATTTTGGAATTAGTCTGCGTAATACACCATCCATTTAATTAATTATATTTGCATTTCGCGCGTGCAGAGAGTTCAGTTCGAAGTCATATGGAACCCTTTTATTTCAAGTTATGAGTCCTCCAATTTTCTCAAGGTTCCCCAAAAGGATGCGATTCTCCGCAAACGATTCGACCGAATTCCGCTTCCTGTACCGGATGCGATTCGCGTTTCATCGCTTGGAAAATCTGCGGAAGACTATTACTCCTCGAAATTCAAGGATACCGGATGACTCGAAGACTGGCGAACCAAGGACATCGCGAAAGCAGAGTTCTTGTAACAAGCGAATTCAAATTCTTCGAATTTCTTCTTACTACGCTTTGATAGGCTAGTGTAGATTTTGATTTATCGTGTTATAAGAAAAAGACGATAAGAGAAGATCAAGAAAAAAAAAAGAAGAATACAAAAACAAGAATCAAACAGATTTTTTATAGTGTTTCAAACTATTTTAAGCAGTGGTAGACCGGAAAGTAATGTCGTTACTTTTACATTAAATTCAAACGGAGTTTTAATAAATTTCTATTTTTAATCAGTTATGCAATCGCCATCGTTATTAACAGCCTTTTGTAATCTATTGTGCAAATTTTCAATGCCAGATCGATAAAAATCAACGAATTGAGTGATAGACAAGTATTTAAAAACGACGTTACTTTCCAGTCCACCTAATACATTATGTTCTACACAATGTTCATTATCGTTATTGATACGATGAGTACTAAGTTTGGAAGAGTCTAAAGAAGGGGCGGGGGGGATCCCCATAGCCCCTTGTATCCGCTACCAAATATGATCCTTACATCGACCAAGTACACGTGCTTTTATTTGTTTTACGATTTGGCACGCGTTAAACAATATTTTAATGGCCCTTAACGCATTCGCTGTCCACTGTCTCACATGTGGGTCAGGACGGTTAGCGTCAGGAGATTGCTTAATGCCCAAGTATCGCCCATGCAGCTCCGAAACCTTTTCTAAAACTAAATAACACCGATAATATCCTGAACGTCATACGTAATTACTAGACTGCGGATCTTTATGCAAAATCAAATCTTCGCGAACGTGCCTACAAAAATTGACGCTAAATAGGAATTTATTTTATTCTGTAAATATTATAACACGAACTTTACTTTCAATTTCTTTTATATTCTTGCATATTGTTTGCATTCTGTAGGGTCTTGCACGTTCAAATTTCCTATAAATGCATAATGATCCGCAGTCTAGTAATTACGTTCGTACAATCAAGTGAATTACTGACTAATTGCAAGCACTTCCTCCATATTGTAACAGTTTTCGATTTTCTATCTATCGATGGAGTTTCTCCGAAATCGATGGGGATATCTTTGCAAACGGCTGATAGGAAGACAGCGTACGATCGATACCGGTGCGGAGATCGATAAGAAAGAATCAAGGCGCAAAAGTAGCATCGACGCGACGCGGTTAAATACGAATGTCCGGCTGGGGAACCCTGTAATGAATATCCCGAGTCCGTGCGCGTCCCCCCAGAGCCCATCCTTCCCCTTCGCGATCTATTTGCTCGGCTCCCTCTTCCTCTTCCACGCTCATAAAAAACAGCTATATTCTAATTAACCGAGAATGCGTTGTTCCGCGTAACCGACATATCGCTGTGATCTTGAATTCCTCGGTTATCCTTAATTGGGTATCGAATCCACGATCGAACCCCTCTGCGCAGCGATCCTTAACCACTTCGCCAGGACACCCCTCGGTGCCCTGAAGCGGCCGATATCGAATCACGAGTGTTTCGTAACGATCTCAACGAACTTCTACTTTGTACAGTTTTTACAAATTTTCGCTACAATTATTCACGATTCATGCCTTCGCGCCAGATGCAGCGATTGTTACGTCAGTTTTTTAATAATGTAATATCGCTACCAAAGAGTTGTTCAAAAATGTAATTTAATTTGCTTCGATACTATTGTTGCACCGTTGAAGAGAAATCGTCGTATCGAACGTGATTCCATGTGGTACACCAAGCTTAATAGAATAATGTAAACTTCTTTAGAACGACAAAGAAATCTTATCAGATATCAAAATGGCACGCGTGCCTTTCGTTTGGTGTCACTGTTTCGAACTGTGTTACGAGCTAGAGGAGGTTAAGAACCACTGCCTTAGCGTAATCTTTCCTCCGGACCCTCGGCGTCGATTTCTCGGTCAACGACGCAGAAGAATCGTCGATGTCCGGCTACCGCGCGTGTCACGCTCCCCTACCGTACTTCCTCTTGCAGAGATGGGCAAAATTCTTATCTAAATACAAATCTCGTGTTCACATAGTTATCTTACAGCAAAGGGCAAACAACTGTTAATTCGATTCTCGTTGAACAAGAATCGAAGAGTACGTGTCACAAGTTTTCAGAAGGTTTCGTTAGTATTCGGTGGGAATTACTGTTTGTAAATATCAGAATATGTTATTCATACATGAAAAGTATACCTATATCGTGACTATTATTACGAATCGGATTAATTTCAAGAGTAATTCCAGTCAAGAGTAGTGTACCAGTTCCTTAAATTGCTATTGTACAGTGGGTTGTTAACAACTCGAAGAATGTTTAAGGAAGCTGATCTATCCCACGAAAATTTTGCCCATCTTTGTCTCTCCAGTTCTCAATCCTAAGTCAACGCGACGATCTAGTGAATGATTCCTCGCGAACGGATTACCAACGCGATACAAACCTAATCAAACAACAAAATAAACATGTTAGTTGTTACGAGAAAAACGACTGAAAAGGTTCGAAAGAATCTCCCACTCGCAGAGCTTACTTACGATCGATCTTCGATTCCCAACAGCACTGTCTTCGTCTCGTCCCCAGGCGCTTCCGGTCGCCGCGAGCAGCGCGACGCCTATTCCTCGCGAGTTTGCGGTACGTGGAAAGGAAAGGAAGGATGATCGCACGAGAGAAACGGCAGAAATTTTACCGAACTTTTTTTCCAAGAATCGAGGTATCGTGTATGCACTGCACTTGGGGGGGCACTCTTGATCCTTCACGCGACAGCTCGATCGCGTCGAACGGGCGGCATTTCCGGGGCTTAGGAGATCCTCGAAGCGGAAGGGTCGCGTGTGCACTCTGCCTCACGGAACCTGTCGTCCCGATCAAGAGCTGATTGGTTCTCTCGATCCTGGTGGTCGCAACGACGCTATCATCGGTTACCACCGATCTACATTAACCGACAAGATTAACGCAAAACTGTTCGTCGATCTCTATCGTTTATTTGCTCTTTTCCTTATCCCTCGGCTCTCAAACTCTCGTCAAACTTTTCTGTATCGAGGCCTGTCTCGAGGTAGGTCTCGGGATACGGTGCGAATGCTCGGCCGGCCCGCTCAGAACTGGAATCGGGTGTTCGCTTTCGACGTCGAACTAGCTGAAATATCGGGGGTACGAAATCGGGGGATCCCCCTTTTCCTTTTTTTCCCCCGGTCCACCCTTGCCGTTTACATCGGTGTCACGCGTTTATTCCGCGCGCGCTCACTCGTGCCCGCTCTCGCGCCCAGTGAGCAAGAGGGGACGAGGAAAACAAGGAGAAAGAGGGTCACCCAAGATCGCAACAGTATATCATCATCAAGTTGACGGCTATCTCGACGAAGCTGCGCTCTTTATTGTCACCGTTCCGATACATGTGCGCGCGCGTATACAGCCTGGAAGCCCGTGGATCGCTCGCCCACGACATTCGAGTTCCGATGATCCAGAAAAGGAGGGGGGACCGTTAGTCAGAAGTCGAAATGATCCATTTTTCTTTTCGTTCTCCGAAACACGTGTGTTCAAAGAATGCACTCTTTGAATTCTATGAAAATGTTCACAATATCGGTGGAAATGTAACGTTCGCGGTGCAAACGATCTAGATGGACAAATTTCTTAAGAAACATGTTCATGAATTTTTTTATCCCTAGACTGCGGGCTTTTATGCGTTTTATAGGAAATTAGAATACGCGAGAACCTACAAAATGCACACAGTATGCAATGATATGAAAACATATTGTAAGTAAAGTTCGTATTATAATGTTTGCAGAGAAAAATACATAAATTGAGGTTCGATTTTCGTAGGTACGTTTGCAAAGATTTTATTTTGCATAAAGATTCGCGGTCTATTTATCACCATTTGGTTGTTGTACATACTTACGCATTGTAATATAATAATAATAATAATAATAATAATAATAATAATAATAATAATAAT